TTTGGATTGTCTCCAGAACAAACCACTGTTATGCAGGGACTTGCCTAATTACCCTAACTTTACACTAATTACCCTAGTGAAGCCTTTAAATGTCACTTTAAGCTGAAAACTAGTATTTATGTACCTATTGTGGCAATGATTAAAAATATATAGTTATTATAAATTAATTATTAAAGCTATTATAAATTTAAAAATATAATATTCTCTCTGTTTAACAGCACTTTGGTAAATATGTAAAAATAATTCAACTTTTACAGGAGGACGAATCATTTTTGTTCTCCATTTTTTAATTTAATTTGATTTGATTTCATTAATCCAGAGGGAAATTGATTTGTCCAAGCGGCACACACACATCACATTAAATACAGATTTAAACATGCCATTAAGTGATTCAGTTTCAGGAGAAAGTGATGTCTGATGCCGCAGAACTGTGAAGAGTGTCAGTAAATGCACTGGACAACAACAACAACAACAAAACAGCAACAAGAGATACAAATAAATTAAGTATCTTGTCACATTTTGTAAAAAATTATGCCCTAAATCTACATGTTTTTTTTGATAATTACATACAAATAATCACAGTATGTACATGTTAAATATGAGGCAACCAGGATTATGGAAACTTTGCAGAGTAAGCAGCTATTAAAAAAAACAGATTTTATAATATTTAATAATAATAATAATAATTCATTAATTAATTTTCCTTTGTCTTAGTCCATTATTTCTCAGGAGTCACCACAGCGGAATGAACCGCCAACTTATCCAGCATATGTTTCACACAGCGGATGCCCTCCCAGGTGCAACCCTGTTCCGGGAAACATCAATACACTTTCACATTCACACACACACACACACACACTTATACACCAATTTAGTTCATTAATTCCCCTATAGCGCATGTGTTTGCACTGTGGGGGAAACCGGAGCACCCGGAGGAAACCCACGCCAACACGGGGAGAACATGCAAACTCCACACAGAAATGCTAACTGATCCAGCTGAGGCTTGAACCAGCAACCTTCCATCTTCTAGCTTGATAAATTTTGCCTTATTGTTAAAGTAATTTTAGGATGTTTACACCTTTAATTAGAATAATTAATTATGTCGAATATTACATCAAATAGTTCTGAATGTAGGATGAGATCAGTGTTAAACCGTGGCCCCTAAAAGCACGAGTTCCCCCCGTCTGATCCTCCAGTTACTGTGGTCCAGAACCGCCACTGGTCAAACCGCAGGTATTTATGATCTGAATGATTCGTTTTCATTTATTAATGTGTTTGTTTGTTTCCGTTTGGGAACTTGTTTTTTAAATACCACCGCAGGATTTCGTGAACTTCTGAAGTATTTAATAAAATGAAAAGGTATGCATCTTGCTGTTTGCTGCTTTACATGCTCTGGAGTTTGATTATTTTGCAGATTTGTGGTTGGATTTCCTTCATCAGATGCTTCTCCTTGGTAATATAGTGATTTTGCATTTGTTCTAATATATACAGTAAGAAAACAAAGTCAAACACATAACTATATTTGAACTAGATCAGATTCAGAGCGCAAACTTTTTAATAAATAGGGCCAAAAACCAAACTTGATTGAGGGCTGTGGGCTGAATATATACCAGACCATATTACAATAAATTTGCCAAGGGGAATTTCCTAATTTATTTGGTAATATTTAAACAGATAAACAAAAAAAGTTGCTTTAAATCAAATTAACTTAGCCATTTAAGTCATTTACTTCTGTAAAAACAAACAGATTACACTAGTCGAGCTGCTCCTGCCTTCTCCTTTGCTCATTTGCTCACAGGTGACTTGTGCATTGTCCTCTATCTGTCAAGTGACAGTATTTTACATTCTTTACAAGTCGGATTTATTTACAGTATTTAATTCAATCGTTATTTCAGTTGGCTTTTTTGTAGCTCAGCAATAAAACAGAAGGTTACGTTAAAATCTAAACGACAATCTCCGTCAAAGGCATTTATTCTATCCCTCCCCATCAGTCTCCTTCTCTTTTCAGATAGAACGGTGGGCCAAATCACAGGTTACTATGGGCAAACTTTGGCCCGCGAGTCCTACTTTGGGCACCTCGGATCTAGATATTACAAGAAAATGGCTTTTTAAATAAATAGAAAAATTAAAAGTAATAAA